GTTTCTGCTTCTTTCACTTTACGTGCAGCCAAAGGCCGGCAGCCTGTGCGTGCGTGGCGCTGCCTCCGAGGGTGCCGCTGCGGGCCTCCTCCAAACCTCCCGCTGCACCCGCAGGCCTGGAGCCTGGGGGTGGCCGGTGCCCGGGCTCCTTCCCGAGCGCGGGGAGAGCTCGCAGAGGGTCCTTGCTTGGGGAATTTTCTCAGCAATCAGATACACTCTCAAGTATGCAATTAACAGTTTTTGTTATGCGGCATCCTTCATGTTGAAGGAAATACATTTTCTGCATGCTAATACGGGGTTTTCTTTGGTTTTTTGTTTTGTTTGGGGTTTTTTTCTTCAGTATCTATGATCTCGCATTCAAACCGGATGGGACTCAATTGATAATTGCTGCTGGAAATAGACTGCTGGTAGGGAAACTTTTTTTCTCCTCTTGCATTTATGGCTGTATGAATATGAGTTCTTCCACATTAGCTTATGAATATAACCTATCAAAAATCCTCTTATCTCTACTAGTCCAGCCTCATATCTACATACATATTAATGCAGACTAACTGTAAAGTGTTTTGAAGCTTCTTAACGTTTCTTACCAAGTTTTAGGCTCTATTTCCAAAAGTAATGAGATTTAAGTTACTTGCGTCATCGCATCCTCTCACGCCTCACCCGGTGTTTTGAAATCCATTAGCCTGCATCCAAACTTAGCACAGTAGCATGGTATACAAATACAAGGTTTTTTTACAAGTTTCGTGCAAATCTCTGTGAAAAGGGGAAAGAAGCTCAAATTGATTTCCCTACTTTGTGAGAAGCTTCACCTATAACTTTTTGTGGTTCCCTGCATCTGCTTGCCTGCTGCTGACCCGTCAGCAAGAGCAGCTCAGGACCACGCTTCTCACGGTTCCTGCAAAGCTTTCAGATGGGGCAGGTGTAGAAACTGCAGGGGTGGGCGGATGGATGGCACCATTATAGAGGTGTAGCTCAGAACTGCAGGACAGCAGGCTGTATTATTTTCACTGCTCGCAGAATGGTATATTTAGTGATGGTACTTTCCAGTAATTTATTATGTTTAAGCATCTCATGCAGGGAAAGAAAGGAAAGAAGTACAACAAGCTGGCCAAATGAGGTGTTTGGAAATTTCTTTTGTGTATGTGACTGTCTAATACTGAGTCTTCTTTCATTCCGAGAAGTATTAAGTTAAGGAAAGCTGCTTCTACACTTTAAAACGTTTTGTCTTGCATGGACTGTATGCTATGCAAAAAAGCAAACACGGAAGTGTATAATCTTGTTGCCTTCAGTAATTTTATGTCCTAGTCCTCACTGGAAGATATTATGTATGTTTTTTTAATTTGTATGTTTGTTTTCCCCCATTTAAATAGGTATATGATACTTCTGATGGAACCTTAATTCAGCCTCTGAAAGGACATAAGGACACTGTATACTGTGTGGCTTATGCTAAAGATGGTAAATACCGCTTTGGGGGGCTTTGTTAGTCTGGTTCATAAAGTACGTATCTTCCATTTCTTACTGCCAATTGATAAATAGAGAGATCAGGGTTGTTTCAGTAACAGTATTTTGAACATATGCCTGAGTGCTGGTGTTTTGTTTGGTTTTTAATGCAGAGTTTGCACTGCCATACAAACGCTACATGCGGAAGTACCGTATTTTTTACATGTACATACGGCTCCTGTTAATCCAAGAACTGTAGTCCCCGCTTCCCCTCCCCTTCCACTTCAGTGATGGTTAAGTTTATATTTGTGGGGTGATGTCAGGAGAAGGCTTACCCCAGAGATCCCTCTTCCCAGTACTCCACCTACCTCTGATTTTTATTCCCATAGTTCCTCTGTCCTAAAGCTTCCCGATCTTCTGATCCTTCACACGTTACCATGCACACTACAGGCCTTATTCTGCTTCCAATTCTTTCATTGCCTCCGATTCTCACTCTTTTGGGACTTACTGTGTGGGGACTCAAAGGACTTCCTCTCAAATACCACTGTTTAAATTATAGGGGATACCTGTGAAAATGTACCATATTTCCCTTGACACTATTAACATAAATTTCCAACCTACGACTGATAGTGTTGGAAAGACTGGCTACTTGCTTGCGTGGCTGGGCTTTAGTGAGGTGCTCTTACTGTGTGGGGACTCAAAGGACTTCCTCTCAAATACTACTGTTTAAATTATAGGGGATACCTGTGAAAATGTACCATTTTTCCCTTGACACTATTAACATAAATTTCCAACCTGCGACTGATAGTGGAAACTGATAGTTGGAAAGACTGGCTACTTGCTTGCGTGGCTGGGCTTTAGTGAGGTGCTGTCCGTGGGAGTAACGAAATAAAGTCATCGGAGTTTCACGTAGCGTAGTTGGAGAAGCTCAGTCACATCAAGACACTTGCAGTGTTAGGCCCTTTATTACTTGAGCCTTGTCAAGTTCAAGAACTTCTTGCTCTCTCTTTGATTATTTGGAGTTAAAGTGATTCTTGCATGTGTGGGATTTAAATGACACTTAATTCCTAGGCAAACGTTTCGCATCTGGCTCGGCTGATAAAAGTGTGATAATTTGGACTTCAAAGTTAGAAGGAATTCTGAAATACACGTAAGTGATGCCTTTCAATTCTGTGCCTCTGAAAAATGGACTTTGATTATGCACTTCTGCTGTCAAAGAGTACGTGCCGTTAGATTTGGAAGAAGGTTGACTAAGGTCGGAGAAAATGCTGGTGAGTGGGTAATAGGAGAGGGAAGAGGAAAAGAACAGTCAAAGTATCTGAATGAGGCAGGAAAGCAATTAAAGGCATAAAAGAGGGTGGGAAGTCTAGATAAATCTCTTAATTTAGAGGGCTGGCAGAGAGCTGGGGGAACTCCGTATAAATCGAAATAAAATGAAACGCAATATGACTCTGATCTTGTATAATAACACTAATCTAATTCTAGTTCAAAGACTAAAGATAAGGTTTGGTACTTTTCGGTATATTTCCATCTTTCTTCTGGCTTTGTTTTTATGTCATCTCTCTTAAGCAGCATCTTCAAATTCTGTTTATGAATGCGTGTGCATTTATTACTTGTTAGTGTGGCACAAGCTGGTGTACTACTAGGAGCATACATAAGCATACTTGTTTTAGAATTTGGATATAACCTTTAATCATGTTTCACAAACCACCATCTATGTACATTTTTAGCTAATCTTGATGAAATACAGTGAATCCTGCCACTTAGAGACAATTTTTTTAAGGTTTATTACTGATTTAGTTTACAGTAATTGCAGATTAATTTGATGTAATATAAACTGATCAAATTATTTATGGCATCTGGTAAACCTTTCAGCTGTCTTGCTGAAAGTTAGAAAAGGGGGCATTTAAGAATGATTTATTGAAATATGATTGTAACTTCATTCTAGGCATAATGACTCTATACAGTGCGTTTCGTACAATCCTCTTACTCATCAGTTGGCATCCTGTTCTTCCAGTGACTTTGGTATGTCTTCTTCCTCTAACTTTTCCATTAAGCCAGTAAATTCTATTGAAGTTGTATAGCTAAGCTAACTACAGATAGGTGCAGTTGTTTATATCCAGTAGAGATGAGAGATAAAGCTACCTAAAGTTAAGTAACATTAGATACTTATTTAAATTACTTAAACTCAGTTGGAAAGGACTATGCAGTGAGGTGCCACAGGGTAAAATGTACTACTTTGTTACTATGATTTTTTTGCAGAGCCATCTTTTGTATTATATGGATGAATTTTTTTTCCCCCATTTACTGAAAAATAATATGTATTTAAATGTCCTTCTAGCAGTGGATGAGACTTTGATCCTTCTGAAGTCCCAGCTGAGTTTTCTGACAATATTAGTTTCTAATCTGAACACTGGTAAATGCTTACGTGTGATTTACTTTGGCTTTTTTGTTTGCTTTAATCAAGGCTTGTGGTCTCCTGAACAGAAGTCAGTCTCTAAACATAAAACTAGCAGTAAGATTACTTGCTGTAGGTAAGTTTTAAGGATTACCTGTGTCATTTAAGTTAGTTTCAATACAAACAATTGAAAATAATATGCAAGCTTAAAGAAAAAAAGTTCATGTAAAGTAGTTCAATGTGTACAGAGACAGTACCTAGTAGTATGAGAGAGGCTCTCCTGCCTTGCTGTTCAGTAGCATTGTGTACTTCACGCTGCTTTGCCATTCTCATCATTAAAATACCTGAGTAGCATTCATAATGCTCCAGTAGGAATATAACTAGTATTTATCAGAGGATTTGTTCTTCTGTAGTCTTCTCAGAGACAGCTGGTTTTTTCTCCCCCCCCTTGTTTGGTTTTTTTTTTAAATAGCAAAGGGGTTTAGTTTTTATTTGGTACTCTTTATAACTGAATTCTTCTGAAAGTGTCAGACAGGTGTTCTGGTCTTGAGCAAGTGTCTTAACTTCTCTCCCTCTGTTTAGCTATCCTGTGCAATAACAATAAAATGAGGAAAAATAACTATACTTTTTATTTGTAGAGCTGTTGGTGTTTTCAGTAGAAGGAGATATTACCATTATGGGTTAGTTTTTATTTGGTACTCTTTATAACTGAATTCTTCTGAAAGTGTCAGACAGGTGTTCTGGTCTTGAGCAAGTGTCTTAACTTCTCTCCCTCTGTTTAGCTATCCTGTGCAATAACAATAAAATGAGGAAAAATAACTATACTTTTTATTTGTAGAGCTGTTGGTGTTTTCAGTAGAAGGAGATATTACCATTATGGGGAACCTGAAGCAAGGGTACATTAATTTGTGTAAAGTCATCCATCTAACTACAGTAGAGACAAGAATAGAAACCAGGTCTCCTCTGTCCCAGCACCATACAGTTTTATCTGATCAGTGTTCTAAATGTGGCTTTTAAAACAGTCTGGTCTACTGCCAGCACTGTCATCCCCCAAAATGTATCTGTTACTTAGCACATGTTAGAAGTATTGCAAGCAGATGATAGCTTTAATTTTTTTTCTTATTTCTACTGTTTCTTTATTTCTGTGTATATAATAAAATGTTCTTGCTGTAGTGCATGCTGTTGCCATAAATGTGGATTTAGATGCATAAACAAACTGTAGGATTACTGGCTATCTCCCAGAACTCCCCCTTAGAAGTATATTTCAATCTATCATCCCTATTTGAGTATGCTGTACCATCCTACCTTCCTGCTGCTTGTTTTTATTAGTTTGCTCTTCAGTATGTATGTGTTTTATCAGCTGGACAAATGATGGCCAGTACCTTGCTTTGGGGATGTTCAATGGCGTTGTCAGCATAAGGAATAAAAATGGCGATGAGAAAGTTAAAATAGAGCGTACAGGGGGTGCTTCATCTCCAATATGGTCAATTTGTTGGAATCCATCCAGGTAAATAATTTCATCCTTCCTTTTTTTCATGCTGATTAGATAATCCTTGGCTTATTGGTTGCAGAAAGGCTTGACTTTTATCCCTGCTGAAACAGATTAATGCCAAGTATGTTACTTTTTCTTAAGTGATTATGTATTGGGGGTTTGGCTTTGCTGCCAGTCTTTAATTGAATGGAGAAGCTGGGAAAAAGTTCTGCTTAGATAACAGAATCATAGAATTGTTTAGGTTGGAAAAGACCTTTAAGATCATCAAGTCCAACCATTAACCTCACGCTGCCAAGTCCACACTAAACCATGTCCCTAAGCACCACATCTACATCTTTTAAATACCTCCAGGGATGGGGACTCAACCACCTCTCTGGGCAGCCTGTGCCAATGCTTGACAACCCTTTCCATAAAGAAATTTTTACTAATATCCAATCTACACATCCCGTGGCACAACTTGAGCCCATTTCCTTGCGTCCTATCACTTGTTCCTTGGGAGAAGAGCCCGACCCCCCTCCCTGCCCCCTCCTGCCAGGAGCTGCAGAGCGATCAGGTCTCCCCTCAGCCTCCTCTTCTCCAGGCTGAACACCCCCAGCTCCCTCAGCCGCTCCCCACCAGCCCTGTGCTCCAGACCCTGCCCCAGCTCCGCTGCCCTTCTCTGGACACGCTCCAGCACCTCAGTGTCCCTCCTGTAGTGAGGGGCCCAAACCTGAGCACGATATTTGAGGTGCAGCCTCACCAGAATTCAGGAAACATTTCTTTTTTCTTTTGTATTGTTTTTGGGGGTTTTTTGGGGGGGAGGGGCAGGTTCTGTTTGGATTGGGGGAGTGAGAGGGGAGCTGTTTTTTCACTTCAATTCAGAGGGAATATTGTCCCAAATATGTGAATAAACAATTGCTATTGCAGTAGGTGGGAGAATTTTTGGAGTAGAGCAGATGAACAAGAGGAGTCAGTTCACAGCTGTTTACAGGAGATACCTGTACTTTTTTGGGGTTTTTTGGGGGGGGAGGGGCAGGTTCTGTTTGGATTGGAGTGAGAGGGGAGCTGTTTTTTCACTTCAATTCAGAGGGAATATTGTCCCAAATATGTGAATAAACAATTGCTATTGCAGTAGGTGGGAGAATTTTTGGAGTAGAGCAGATGAACAAGAGGAGTCAGTTCACAGCTGTTTACAGGAGATACCTGTACTGAAATCCAGGCCTGTCAGTAGGCAGTATAGTCAGACAGAGGGAGAAGACCATGAGGAAGAAGAGACCTCTATGGATTTGAACTTGTGAGTGAAACTTCAAAGGAACATCTGTATATAACCTAGAACAGTAATTCACAAAAAGGACCAAGGGCAGAGAGTACTATGCTGGGTACAAAACCAGATAGTCAAAAGCTAGGAAATTCTAGATTAATAGTTGCCTGTATGGTCTTAAATTATTCTGCTAGTATGTGTTCATTACGAGATAGTTCCTAAGTATGTTATAGCATGTTGCTTTTCCCCACAGGTGCATGAATCATGCATTGAGCAAAGGGAGGGTGCTTACTAAACAGCTAGCTTTTAGTTAGTTTTTTTGTCTGTTTCCTTTTTGTTTGGTTTATGGCTAGAGGCATTACTTGCCGCAGAAATGTTCAGATTACCATCTCCCTTCTTCCTAGGCAAGAAGCTGTGGAGAAGGTGACTCTCATGTTTTGCTCCAAGCTGAACAGATCATGTCAGACTACCAAAGTGAACAAATTTGAGACCTGAAGCCTTTCCTCGGTCTGCTGCTGGTCTCACACAAACAATTTCGCACACACCCCCCTTACACTGATAATGGTAGTTCACTCTTGCTCAGCTGCATTGACTTTGATGTTATGGTGGCTTTGTACTCCTGTAGCTAAGATCAGAATCCGGGGCCAGGTGCTTCATCTTTAAGGGACCATTAGTGTCACTGTACCCACTGCTTATATAGCTGTATGTGAAGTGGTACATCAAGCTTTGCAGTTGTTCCTGTAAAGGAGACTGATTTTTCTTTTGTGTCTCCAAGCTGTTGTCTTCAGTTTTAAATGGAAGATGTATCTGCTGTCCTTTCAGTTTGTGGTTTTTTTAAAGAGTAATAGGAAGTAAATTCTGCTATCCTATTACTTGTTTCTATCGCTGTAAGAAATGTATTAATAAATCACTGTAGAATTACTACATAATTTTTTGTTTGTTTGTTTGTTTTGTTAGAGATGAACGCTATGATATCTTAGCTGTAGCAGACTGGGGTCAGAAACTTTCCTTTTACCAGCTTAGTGGCAAACAGGTATGTTTTAGAAAGTGCATTCAAGAGTGGCAGCGTATTTCTGATTCTGTTTTGTGTCCTATATTCAAAGTGTTTGTGTACTAGTGCTTTATTAGCTACATTAAATGTTTTCTGTTTTCCAAACCTTTTATGAGTCTGCTTTTTTTAACCATCTTTTCCTTCAGCTCTTGTTTCTCCCATGGCAACTCAGCTGCTGTCTTAAGCTTCTTGTATTAAAGCCCTTACAACTTTGCTGACTTTTGTGATATGGTTTACTGGTCTGTAGAGGACATCTTTGTATTTTTTCAACTGGTTAAAGGGGGTTCTGTGAGTTACTTGCATTCTGAGTAGACTGGTTTGGGACTGGAGGGATTCTTGGATGTATTTTAGAACTGCCTTTGGGAATCTTAATATAGCCAGTGGTTCTGGGGTACTGAAAAGTTGTGCATGGCCGGAGAGGTGAGAAGAATGGTTTCAGTGACAGCACTTGTTGCTTTGGGTAAATATGAAATGATCCTTTTGTTAATGTTTTTGATTTTTTTTTTTTTAAATTTTATTTTCCCTTGTAGATTGGGAAGGACAGAATGCTCAATTTTGATCCTTGCTGTGTTAGCTATTTTACTAAAGGAGAGTATATTTTACTGGGAGGTTCAGATAAGCAAGTTTCCCTCTTCACAAAGGATGGCGTGCGTCTTGGTACCATAGGAGAGCAAAGTAGTTGGGTGTGGACATGCAAAGTTAAACCAGACTCTAACTATGTGGTGAGTGGGAACATTTCTCTGACATTTTCACAGACAATTTGTCATATAAGGTAAGACCATAAATTTCAAACTCAGTTGCTTAGTCTAGACATTCTTGCTGAGGCAGCAGAACCTAAGCAGTCTAGTGAGGTCCCAGAACTACCAAAACTAAAAATACTCTGCAGAAGTAAAACTTGGGCTGTAAGAAGGCTGTAAATGAGCATAACGCCTGTTTTCAGATGGTAAGGCATTTCCTGCATTTTGATTACGAAAGAGGAGGGAAAAGAATTAAAACCAGCAGCTAATAACTTCTAGATCAACCAAATCTAATTCCATGATGGGAAGAAAATGTTCAGATCTGTTTGAGTTTCTAGCATTACACCTTGTGGAAAATGCCTACAAGGCAACTGTTAGCCATAAATGCTGCACTCCTTGTCACTGTACAAATGTAAAGAGATACAGAGCAAATTTAAAAACCAACCAACCAACCCACCCCCCCAAAAAAAAAATAAAAAAAACAAAACAAAACCCCAAAGAACCCAACAAAATACAACCAAACCCCACCCACCTAACATGGTAGTCTCCATGGTCTATGATGAGATCAGTCCTTGTTTTGCTTTGCACTTTTACCGCTGTTTAAGTAGGCTGTAATTGGTATCAATCTATACATTACGCAGGAAAAGGAACATAATGTTCATATAAATACTACACATTTTTCCAATTCTCACCTACATGTACCAATTAAGTAAAATTATTTTCTTCTTGTGTTCAGGCAGTAGGATGCCAAGATGGAACAATATCCTTTTATCAGTTGATTTTCAGCACTGTTCATGGCCTTTATAAAGATCGCTATGCTTACAGAGACAGCATGACTGATGTTATTGTCCAACACCTCATCACTGAACAAAAAGGTAATTTCACACTTGAGGTCAGGCCAAAGCTTCACTCTTATTCTGTTTTGTTTTGGTTTTTTAATTAATATCTATTGGAACACTTGGAATGTATGCTAGATGTACCAGACAGATTATTGTCACTTTGACAGTAAAACTGAGGAATACTGTTTGTTGTCACTTTGACAGTAAAACTGAGGAATACTGTTTGCAGGATGAGAGTGCAAACTTGGATTCTGGAGGATCAGCGCTGACAAGCTTAATGAAAGATGTGGGGATTTGAAAGGACATGGGGAGGGGCAGAGGCTATTAAGATAAGGTTTTAATCTCTGCGAATGAGATAAAAGTACTGTACATCATATTGAGCTTCCCCCCACCCCCTTACTTGCAGCCTCAAGGGTTTGTGCTGATTTTGTTTCTTCGTATCCACTGGCTTTTTATGGCAAGGAATCAAAGCATTGTTCCAGAATGTGCTGTTGACAAATAACAGAGGGTGATAAATTGTGACAGGGATAGTAGATTACATAGATGCAGAACAACAAACATATCTGAGCAGGAATCTGCTTTTAATTTTAGAGGTGCTTTAGAAAGATTCAGTTTTAATGTATTAGGAATTTTTCTGATTTATGTATCCATTATTTTCATGTCAGCCTATATTGTATTGTTTTTGTGTTTTTTTCTCTCTAGTTAGAATAAAAGGCAGAGAGCTTGTGAAGAAAATTGCAATCTACAAAAACAGATTAGCAATCCAGATGCCAGAGAAGATCTTGATTTACGAGTTATACTCGGATGATTCTTCAGATATGTATTACCGGGTGAAGGAAAAGATAGTAAAAAAATTTGAATGCAACTTGCTGGTTGTATGTTCAGATCACATTATTTTATGCCAGGTATGTGCCTTAAAATCTGGAGTAGTCTTGGGGTGCATTCAGACTTTAAGGTAGCTGTCCAAATAGCTGGTAGGAAAAGACTGTACTGTATAATCCATTGCAGTTTTTCCCCAAGGGACCGACGTGTAGTGCTGCCGTAACGTGCAGTGCTGACATACTTCTGAGCACTTGCTGTGGCATGACACAGGTGGCTCTGTTTCAGTAAAACAGTCTCTAGTGAATTTGATAAATTAGTGCATAATCCAGGGGAACTTTTGGGTGGGGGTGAACTACTCTAAATTAAACTGAGGGGTTTTTTTGTTTTGTTTATTTGTTCATAGCACTGGGAAACCTTAAAGAATTCACCCTGTTAAATTGACTATTTGACTTTATGATTTTTATACGTAAAAGTAGGCATACATGCTAGTATAGGTATAAACATAGTACATCAAAGACCCAGGGTTTTACCTTTACCTCCATGGACTATTTTGTACGTTATTGTGTCTTTAGGAGAAAAGATTGCAGTGCCTCTCATTTAGTGGCATTAAAGAACGGGAATGGCTGATGGAATCTCTCATTCGTTATATTAAAGTAATTGGAGGACCTCCAGGAAGAGAAGGCCTCTTAGTTGGTCTAAAGAATGGTCAGGTAACACATAATGTCTGGTATGTGTCTTTTCACTGCAAATAAAATCTGTTCTATGCTCTTAGGGGGAGACCTTAGGAGCAGCGAGCTCTTTCACAACCTAGAATTCTATTTGACAGAGTCTCATCTTGTGATTAAAAACTAATTACTTCTATCTTTCGCATTCTCTGGCTGTAAAATTAATACAAACGTGTTTAACTTTGTCTAAAGCCCATAGGTTGTTAGGAACACCTGACAAAAATCGAGTTCTTGGTGAACCGAGAGAGGGTTTGTCTTTCGTGGGGGTTGGTGCGTGCGTGTACACTTCTCCCGCTGACCACTTGTGAAGGTGTGGATGTTGTAGAGGTGAAACTGCCGGCTGTTTCACAAGCCAGTTAGCAGCTGAGAATGTCAAACTGGAGCCCAGAGGTATTGATACAGAGAACAGAAATAGAGATGAAGCTGGGATCCTTTGTGTCTTCTGGATCTGTGCTATATATTCCTGTAGTAGTATGTTACTGTAATTGTTTAACTAGTGGAGCATTAAAAAATCCAGGATGTATAGTATATGATTTGTTTGTATAGGCTTGCAACCTAGAGTATGTTGTGGAGACAAGTCTTTTCAAGATGCCTCAAACCGAAAGCATTTCCTTAATTTTAATGAATGGTTTCTCTCAAAAAAAAAAAAAAATTGCAATTGCATGCTTTAAACAGCATTAAATTTTGTTCCTGCTATGCTATTTCTAGTTTTAGGAACAAAAATGGATGGACTGACTTTGTTTTCTAGATTCTGAAGATATTTGTCGATAATGTCTTTGCAATTGTCCTGTTGAAGCAATCGACAGCTGTGCGCTGTCTGGATATGAGTGCATCCCGAAACAAGCTGGCAGTGGTTGATGAAAATGATACCTGCCTAGTATATGATATTCATACTAAAGAGTTGTTGTTTCAGGTAAAATTCAAAGTTTTGTTTTGTGGTGGGTTTTGTTTGGTTGGTTTTTAAAAGGGAGGGGGGAGGGACCCAGGAAGTGATTTGGAGCACAGAACATACCAAAAGTGTTGCTGTGCAGAAGTTCATATAACTGTCATTTAAGCCATTAATCAAGTTTTGTAGGATTTAAGTGTAATCTATTTCTCTATCGAAACTACCCTTTTAGAGATGGTAGACAAGGAATTAGAAGACAGGAGATATATGTGAGCAACAGCTGAACAAAGAGCACTTAAACATGTGACCTTTTCAGTTTAATTTAGAGCTCTGTCCTGGTTCCCTTTGAAGTATTACAGTTAATGAGCACTTTGGCTTTATCATTAGTATGAACAGACTTAAAGCCTAAACTTCTTTGTTCGTTGTGTATTCCCAGACTGTAAAATGAATAATGATAATTCTCTCTTCATTGGCAGTTTAGCACTCTAAGGGTTCACTCATTAATGTTGATGAAATGTTTTCAGGGAACACTGGATAGAAAGTATGAAGTGCTACAAAGATAGGGTCTGTAACATCCTTTTTTAACAGGCAGAAAAATGATCAATTAAATGTGCTAGCTAACTAACAGTGTATTATTGTGGAATTTTATATTATGTTCTACGGTTTGATAGTACAGTTCATTAGTAAATATGAAACAAAGGAAAGGCAATTACAGCTGTTTATTAAAATGTAAAATAAGTCCCTGTAAATCTGTTTAGGAATACCCTAGGCTTTAGAATATTACAAATGTAAACAATAAGCGTGTGTGTACGTACACACGCCCAGGCTATAATGGTCAAATGTTCTAGCTGAAGGATTCATATTTCTTAGGAAGGAAGATGTGATTGCATCTGTTGTAATCATCCGTTATTTTGCTCGTTAGGAACCCAATGCTAATAGTGTGGCTTGGAATACACAGTGTGAGGATATGCTTTGCTTTTCTGGAGGGGGTTACCTCAATATCAAAGCTAGTAACTTCCCTGTCCATCAGCAAAAACTCCAAGGCTTTGTTGTGGGTTACAACGGCTCCAAGATCTTCTGCCTTCATGTTTTTTCTATGTCAGCTGTTGAAGTTCCGCAGGTAATCCTTTAATCTCATTAAGTGTTGCTTTACATTTCATAAACATCAATGTTTAAGAAGTGAAGAAGCTTTTCTGAGATTTACTCATATTCCATTACCAGAATGATTGTAGTTCACGCTTTCTTCATCGTTATTTAAGTTGCATTGTATTTTGTTTTTATTTGGCATTAATTAAGCTAACTTCCTTTTTGCTGTTTTTGATTGTTTCTAATTCTCCCTTTCTACTTGCAAATGCACATAATCTAAAAGCAAAGATGATGAAATGGTGCCAGTGTTACCTCTTCCTGTATTTTTACTGTAGTCTCTCTATGTACCTTTTCTCAAGTTGTAATTTCATTTTTCTTATGAGTACATCAAATACTGTCTTCTTGTCACTTCATCTAGATGTGTTTAGGCAGTATTTAAGCTGTATATTTTAGTCTGAATGTATAGTACGTGTGTAGTCTTTATATTCTAAATCTAGAGATTGCCTTCCACAAAATGCTATTTTCTGCATTATGGGAAGCAATGAAAGAGTCTAAAACAGTCCAAGAAACAAAACAAAAAAGGAAAAAGCTTTAAAAAAAAAAAAAATTCAGTCTTAGGCACCTGAGTGTGGCAGGATTTGAAACAGAGTCAATGAGGAAGGCAAAAGTGCCATGTGCTTTTATTAACTAATGGATACCTGTGTTACAGACCCTGTCTGTTCCTCTGAGGCATTATGCAGATCCTTAATTAGGCTCTGGGCTGTCCGGTGTGCTTGACAGCCGTGAGATCGACCAGGCCTAGTACACACTTTGGTTTTGGCATGCTGGAGGCACCAATATGCCACAAAATTGCTGTGAAGTATCACAGAGGCAGCTTTTTCAAAGCTACGCTTTTGGAGGGAGGGAGTACCAAAAAGTATACAATTTTCACATAAATTGATAAAAATAACGTGGAAATCAATCTGCATGCCGTCTTTGGTTGCTAACCCAGACTTAAAGGTAATCTAGCTGCAGTGCTCGCTGTGTGTTCAAAGGGTTCGAGCTGTAGCTGCAGATCCTGAGCCTTAGTCTGTCCGTGTCAGCCTGCAGTTGACACTTTCTCTCTTTAATTCCTTTTTAGGGCAGGTCCTCGAGGTCAGCATCTTTTGGGCTTAATAGCTGCAGTCTTGGTAAAACAGCTTTGTCATCAGGGTCAGCACAGAAGGGTTACTTCCTCATGATACCTCTTCCTGTTGTGTCTGAATATTTCCAGGGATGCTTCACACCAGGCTGTTGTGCCACTTCTCATGCTCTTAGGCTTTGAGAACAAACTACCCCCTCCTGTTCTCTGCTTCCATAGTATTTAAAAAAAGGAGGCTTATGTATTTAGCATGTACAATGCTCAGAAGAATTCACATTCTTAACTACTTCCTAATATGCAAGGAACTGAAGATTTCAAGATGGATGAGTTTGGAATATAATTAACCCAGCTTGTCTGAATATACAAGAATAATCACCCCAGAATGTTGTTCTATTACACAAAAAACATACATTTATTCTCTGTGGAGCTTGTAATGGTTGTGATTGGAATTTTTTTTTTTTTCTCCCCCAATATATGTAGAGAATTTCACTAATATCTCAGTATTTTGCTTTCTAATACATGTTTTTCAATTGAAATCCTCAGTCTGCACCCATGTATCAATATCTGGAACGAAAAATGTTTAAAGAAGCCTATCAAATTGCGTGTTTAGGAGTAACTGATACTGACTGGAAAGAACTGGCCATGGAAGCCTTAGAAGGGCTGGAGTTTGAAACTGCTAAAAAGGTACAGCAGATATTTACTTATTTAGCAGAAAGCCTGGTTTATATATATCTTTTTTATATATATATATATGAGAGATATATAGTGTGTGTATACTGTATGTTTTATGGCTGGAATACAAAGTGGTGTTACCGGGTTACTATCTTGCTTGCCTTTAGCGTATATATGTTATTCCACGTACCAAAGAAAACATTGGTTTATTATATACTCAGGATCTTGAGATGAGGTTTTAAACTGAAATTGCGTTTATTTCTCTAGATAAATGCCATCTTCTAAATCGGTGCTAAATGCAAAGAAAATGGTTTCTTTCATCTGCTGGAAAATGCGTTAATGAGTTAGAGGGAGATGGGACTGGGAAGTTGTTCGGTGCTGCTGGCCGCCGGGTGGCAGCAAAGAATGCCTGGGCTTGGCTCCCCCTTCCCCAGCACTATAAACTTACTCTTTTTTTCCCCTAGGTATTTAAATATAACCTCAGTTCAAACGTGGAGGCTTCATATTCTTAGTTAATTTACACACTAACGTTCTTGAAGGCAGTGGTGATGGGATGTCATCATTTTAATAATATTCTATCTGGAATGCCTTGTTTGTGCGAGTGGTCTATAAATGGGCATATACCGAAGAACAGAGTTTTTTCTGCCATAAAATACTTCCCTATTTTCTTTCACCACCTTTTCTCAAATAAGAGAGGGTGAACGGAGTTCAATGTCATGAATATTGTATGAAAGACAAAACATTCTAAAAATATGTGGGGAATGGCCTGTAATGATAGGCATCTTTTAATAACAGATTTTTTTAAAAGGAAATGAAATGCTTTATTTTTCTTTTTTTTTCCTTAAGTGGAGGCATCGGAATAATTCCAGTTTCATAGATGGCTTTATGCAAATAGATATTCTTAAAAAGAAGTTTTCAGTGCCTCCTTGGAATTTTAAAGTAGTGCCCTCTTAGAATTAGAGCGGATTAATCTGAACAAAAGCAGCTTCTTGACATTAAAGGCTCTCGTAGTTCCTAGTCCGATCTAGTGCAAGCAGAATATTCTATGCCCTCTTAAGCATTAGTTTGGTTAGAAGTCTTGAACGTGCAGTCTAAAGAGTTAAATTTCTATTTTTTGATGCATGTCAAGAATGAGCGTTAAGCTGCTGTAACTCGCATGTGACTTTGCCACTTGAGATTGTGGGTTGCACATTTATCTCCATTTGCAAAAGATATTATGCTGTTTTGCAGTACTGTTATCTTACCATCTTCTTACTTCATTTCCTCTCCCTGAGCTACTTCCATACTGAATTTTCAGAATGGTATAAAAACTATAAGCATATGCAGTATGCTTTGGCAACACGATCAATTATAGGTTCTACCTTGTAGTAGTTCCCTCAAATTTCTTTGTCTGTATCATGCCTCGCATCAAAATGGAAAAGCTATAAAATAGCCAGAATAAAAGTATGTAATATTTTAAATGGCACTTTGTATTTCTTGGGGGACTGACATATGTACACCTACTAATCCCTGACTTTGCTGTTTATTTTAAACTGTTTGGATTGTACCCTTGTCTTACTGTAATGCCTCAGGGGCCACAGCTGTAGTTAGAGCCCATCAGGTTCGGGACTACACAAACACGAACCTCAGCATACTTCTGTCTGTCCTGTTTGCACGAAGACAGCTTGATTTATGCGTAACGATATTCTGTTGATTTCTTTTTTTTCTGGCTTTTCAAGTTAATTCTTTTTATTCTTTTTTTTCTTTTCAATAGGCATTTACCAGGGTACGAGACCTTAGATATTTAGAATTGATCAGCAGTATAGAGGTAAGAGAATGTTAAAGACAGTGTATTTTCTTACACTTAGTACTGTACCAAAATCAGTACTTTCTATTTTAGAAGGACTTTTGTTCAGACAGTGCTTCTGACAGTTGGAGATGTGTTTAGAGTGAAAAATCCTGATTAGCAGAGATGACTCAAATTCTAGTCATATGACTGAAACTTCACGGGGAAAAAAAAAAAGGGGATGTGGGACAATGAGAACTTATAAAACTCTCTTCAGGAAAACTGGAAAAACGTTCAATATTCAATTAATAATTGGTAGAAGACTACTGTGCTAACAGAGCTTAGTACAGAATACTTCATAAACATGAGTTAATTAAGCCTTTCCTTACCCCCTGGAGGTAGGTAATTACTATTATCTCCTTTTTGCAGAGCCAGAAACAGGCCCAGAGAAACAAAATGACAAACTCAAGGTCTCATGACAAATCTGTGGCAACTGGAAATAGAATTTGGGATTCCTTGCTTCCATACTGTGCTCTAATCACTAGTTCTTATTCTTTTCACACTTCTTGATAGAATTTTGCTAGACAATAACTGTCTGTCATGAGCACATTAAAAGACATGGTATCACCCTTGTCCTTCTGCAAAGACTGCATGATGATGCTTAGTTTAAAGATCTGTGTTGAGATGGCATAAAGGGAATTTCTCTTTCTCACGCTAATTAGATTTACACCTTCTCCGAAAGAATACATTCCTTGTCTTCCATTTCTGCAGAGCTGTCCTAGTCCTGTCAAAACTCTAGCTGGTTGCAGTTAACGTTTCTTGGTGTCTAACATGTTCTGCATTATGACACCCCCCCTTCCTTTTTTTGGCCTTTAAAGGTGGACAGGTAGATGAGAGCATTCTCTCACTACTAGCAACCTTTCTTTTCCACACATGTGTCTCCAGATCTGCATCTATTGAGGATATTCTGGAATTGTCATGTTATATTTTGTTTAATGAGAAAGATTCCCTTTGTAAATAGGCATAAACTTACTTTCAGACTTCTTGAAAATGCTCCTTCTGAAGTGAGAGTTCTGCATCACTGCTTACTCTTGCTTGTGGTGTATTGGATTCCTTTTAAGGCTTGCAAGGGTGTAACTAAGCACACATGTGCCATTAATATGATGGTTTTCTCTCATTAATGACATTTTTTTTCTAATTGATGACAGCAGGAAACATAACTGCTGGATCTCTGTATCTGGCAAGATTCTGTGAAGTCTTTAAAAAATGGTGTAACAAGTCTTCCGATTATTCTTCTAACCAAGTTTTTAAAGGGAACTTTCAACACCAGTCCAGTATCAGCCTAGTCAACAAGTGTCACCAGAAGGAGTGATGGCTGAGTCTCCTTTGGCAGTAGGGAATTGAATTTGTATGCTCATGGAATGCTTTTCCCCCTTTAATGCAGTTTTCTTTAAGTTCAGTTCACGTCTGTGTATTTCCATATGAGGTGGGCTAACAGTAGTAGTAATTTTGTCCAAAGCAGGCTAGTAATGTGTTTCCAAGATATAGGATAAATATAAACTTACACATTAAAACGCACGCATGCACGCACGTGCACATGCGTGTGCATATATGTGGCGTTGGTCCCTTGAAGTCGGTGCACCTCTGTGGGTCTGATTCACATAAAAGGGTTTCTCTGTGGCACTGCACCTGCTCTGCCTCTGCGGCCCCTTCCCACGCGATGAGAGCGAGCAGTTCCAGTTAGCAGGAGAGTGTGGAAGCAGCTGCTGCCTGCCTGAAATCATGAGCTCTTGCATGTGAGGACAGTGGTGGTGACACTGCTTTTTTATTCAGAGGCAGGTTAACTTACTTTTTCAATCTCCTTAATGCTAGCAATTATTTTCATGTTTGTCATCCCACCCACACATATTGTTAATTTAGCCAAATTATATGCTAGTGAGTTTCTACAGGAGAAAATAAGGAACCCATCAGATGCCTTTTTTAAAATAGCATAGCATAATGATAGCGTGTGTTCATTTTCCTGTGTGAAATCAAGAGAAGTGATTTTTCATCACTTTGGTTTGTATAGTGACATTTAATTTTGCTCTTCCTAATTTTAATTAAGAAGGGATTTAATCCTTTAATTATAAATTCACCAGTAATGTAGGAGAGGCATAGTAATCATATCCTGTTACAGGTTTTTATTAACAGTTAAAATCAAAGCCTGAAAATCTAATTCTTCAATGGCTATTTCTCATCTAGGTCCTGATCATCTAGAATATTTTCTACATCTCGCTCTTTTTTTCCCCCCTCCCCCCCCCAGGAGCGGAAGAAGCATGGAGAAAACAACAATGAACTGTTCCTAGCAGATGTTTATGCCTACCAGGGAAAATTCCATGAGGCAGCAAAGTTGTACAAAAAGAGTGGACATGAAAACCTAGCTCTCGATATGTACTCTGATTTACGCATGTTTGACTATGCAAAGGTAGTAGTTTGCAACTGAGTATTTAAATGCAGAAATATTAATGTACCTGTAACTGTTTTCAAAGTATGATCCTACAAAAGGATTGGGTGAAATGCAGGCTTTGAGTTCCAACTTTATTTTCTCAGTTAATTGGTTGAAGTTTGTTTGGCTTATAAGGGGAAAAATGGCTATCTTGAGTGTCTAGATGTAATGGTCCCCTTTTTCTTCAGAGTCTACTACTGAGGTAGCAGATTGTGTTTTGTATAGTCTCAAATGCGTCCATGGAATTCATGGCTTTTCAGTGGATTTTTTTGTTGGACACCACCAAAGGTGACTCTTTGATATTTTCTTTTTTTTAATAACTAAAAATCTCAGGTTTAAGACTGTTTCTTCCCCATTATCTCGCTCAAGAGTCCCTTTTTATTTTTTTGTCTTCCAAAGATGATAAGGTAGTACACATGCAAAGTGGAGGTGAGTGCACCATGCATTTAATTCACTTCCGTATTACAATAACATTTTTCTTTCAGAGTTTGAACTTAAAAAGGTATGTTATTTCTATATGACTGTATTTTATAAAGTGTATAATATACTGACTTAGTATATTTTTCTTTACTAGAGAATTTTCTTCCAAAGATTCAGTATGTCTTGGCTTTTTTTTTTTTAAACTCTGTTTCCATGTAGAAAGAAATTGAATATGGTTTTAGAAAGTTTTTATATGGTGATAAGAAAGCATTACTTGGCTTTTATGTCTTCTATGGTGTTTTCTTATCAAAATCCCTGAGAATGCATGCACTGTTCAGTCTCACTCATCACTCATCAGAGCCTTATTCTGCCCAATACAGGACAAAGACTTTACCATGACATGCATATAAACTGTTTTAGCATAGATTCCACAAACTGTGCTACAGAGAGATCTTTTTCTTCCGAGAGCTTAATATAAATACTTCAGGGCTTTGCTGATGTAAGTCTGACTTCCACTATTTTTGGCTGATGAGTCTTTGTTAGCTTCAGTGTTTTGGCTGCTCTTGAACATAAATGTAATTCATAGATGAAAATTTTCCCATAAGTCTTCATAAGAATCTTTTAATTCTTGGACGTAGTCATGTCTATATTTAACTAGCAGAGAGCAAAAGGTCTTGTGTCTCCTATCCCTGAGAGTAACTCCATGCAGAGGAAATTAAAGGTACTTCATAGAATATGAAGGAAGCTTCTTGTGCAGGGAGTGCACGATACACGAAGAATATGTAAAACCCCCTTGTTTGACAGTTATTTTTCCAAGGAAAGATATACTGGGAGGGGGGGAAGGTGTTTTTGTGTTGGGGTTGGTTTGTTTGTTTTCTTAATGCTGCCAGAATTACACAAAGGCACCCTTACAGAATCTGATTTCTTGTGCTTGTGCTTGACTTTGATTAGCGCTAGCTAGAGAGTCCAGACTGGAGGTGGAGGTCAGGAAGTTCTTTGGTATCTGGTCATAGGCTTGTTATCGCAGTACCAGATCACAAATTACTGAGAACTCACAAAAAACTCTTTATACGGTAAGAAGCTGAGCTTTTGATTTTGGGCTTATTTTGGTGACCTAAGCTGGAAAACAAGTTGTGTCAAAAATACTGTTCAACTTTATTCTTTCGCTTCAGTTTTTCATGTTCAAAGATTATCATGACATCTTTATAGTTATTCATTTGAATCAGGGCTGTGTTGCAGCTGATAATGCTAGAGCAAAATGGAGTTCATTTGAGAGCTGACATAGAGGTGGGGTATAGTTCTGTATCTGTTGACTGGCTGCGTGAGGGAAACTGCTGAATTGTGGCAATGGAACAGATCTGTTGTGTGGGTGCTTTTTGTGTGTGGGTTTTTTTTTTTTTTTAAAACCTCAATCAGAATTTACTGGCAACACAGAGGATAAGGTAATTTTCCACTCTCTTCTCACCTTTCCATTTCTCCTCTGTTCTAATTTTTCATTTGATAGAAGCTGTTTTAATGGATAGTAGCCCGTTCTGTTAACAGACAAAATTGCCCTTAATCGATCTTCTGGTGTTGAAGTACTACTCCCCCCCACCCTGGCGCGTGATGTCAACAGATGTGAACCATATGGTGCCAGGGTTTTGATAATGGCAGAAGCAGCTGAACTGTTAGAAATATTTCCAAAATGGTCATCATCACAGCGTCCAGACTTCAGGTTTGCATTCCTTGCAGAAGTCCAACCAGTAGATCATAGAATCATAGAATTGTTTAGGTTGGAAAAGA